GAAGCTTCTTGTGAATGCTATCTGATATCCCATGGAATGGATCACAGTCAAGCTGGGTTCCCACAGGAATTGGTCCTGGGACCAGTTCTCTTCAATATCTTCATAAATGATTTAGATAATGGCACAGAGAGTACACTTATAAAGTTTTGAGAACAATACCAAGCTGGGAGGGTTGAGAGTACTTTGGAGGATAGGATTAAAATGCAAAATGATCTGGACAAACTGGAGAAATGGTCTGAAGTAAACAGGATGAAATTCAATGAAGACAAATGCAAAGTACTCCGCTTAGGAAGGAACAATCAATTGCACACATACAAAATGACTGCCTAGGAAGGAGTACTGTGGAAAGGGATCTGGGGGTTTTAGTGAATCACATGATATGAGTCAACAGAGTGTAACACTGTTGCAAAAAATGTGATCATCATCCTGGGATGTATTAGCAGGAGAGTTGCAAGCAAGGAATAAGAAGTAATTCTTCTGCTCTACTCCATGCTGATAAGGCCTCAGTTGGAGCATTTTGTCCAGGTCTGGGTGTCATATTTCAGGAAAGATGCGAACAAATTGGAGAAAATCCAGAGGAGAGTAACAAAAATGCTCAAAGGTCTTCAAAACATAACCTATGATGGAAGCTTGGAAAAAAATGTGTTTGTTTAGTCTGGAGAAGAGAAGACTCACAGGGGGACATGCTAACAATTTTCATTTACATAAAAGGTTTTTACAAGGAGGATGGAGGAAAATTGTTCTTTTTAACCTTTGAGGATAGAACAAGAAGCAAGGGGCTTAAAGTGCAGCAAGGGCAGTTTAAGTTGGACATTAGGAAAAACTTCCTGTCAGGGTAGTTAAGCACTGAAATAAATAGTTAGGGAGGTTGTAGAATCTCCATCATTGGAGGTTTATAGGAGTAGGTTACATAAACACCTGTAGAATGGTCTGGGTAATTCTTAGTCCTGCCTTGAATTCAGGGGACTGGACTTGATGACCTCTTGAGGTTCCTTCCAGTCCTACATTTCTATAATTCTATAACCTCTGAGGTTTGTGGAAGCGCCATCGCTTGGCACACTAGAAATGAGTTAAGTATAGTCTTTAGTAGATGAAAAATAGGAACAACCCTTAGTAGTAAGATGGACAGAATGAACTAATCCATCATCTTTTATGATTCAACAGTAGCCATGTGTGTTTTTTGTAAAGGGCAGGGAATTCTTCCTGAACTTTTTTGGCCCTTAAATGTCATATTTGACAGTACATATTGTAGCATTTATATCTACAAATATTATGGGTCTGTGATCTCAGTTTCTCTTTCTTTGTAGAGAAGGGAGTACTTCCTCAGCCCACTCCAAACCAATCTTGCCCCTGCTGGTTGAATAAAGTCTCAGACAGCAGCATCCCTCCTTCTGGGGTTTGGTTTCATATCAACACAAAATATCTCAAACAGGAGGTTTGGGATCTCTCAGGATTCCTTCTTGCCAACTCAGTCAATTCCAGACTCTTAAGTCTCACCTCAGGCTTCCCCATGTAGAGGTTCCTAAGCAGCTCCTACTACTCATCAACTAGGAATTATTGCTGGTCCTTCCTCAGGCCACATGTCCAGGACAGCACACTTCTGCTTGTTGAGAATAGGTTGCCACTGATATCTCCCAGAAGGGCTGGCTCTGAGTCAACCAGGTCTGTGCTCTCTGTTCTCCAAATACTACAGTTTAGGAGGGGAGCCAGGCAGAGATCAGAGTTGGGTGTTGAACCCTTTACTAGCCCAAGATCAACCTGTGACAGGGACACAAAACTGTCCAGCCATTTTTAAAATTCAACTTACAACTTTAGTCCCCTGACCTTCTATAGCAAAGACTGCCCCAAAGGCTGATTACCTGCTGTGTGAAAAAATTATTTCAATTTAGTTGTTTTAAATCTACCGGTCATTAAATTTATGGAACAATCCCCTTGTTTGTGTATTATATGTAAAAAAGAAGTACAAGACCCCATTAGTGGTGGAACTGCTAGTAGAGATAATAAAACCGAAGAAATTTTATATTATGTTAGAAGACTAACACAATACCTGGATGTATAAAGAGAGGACTTTTAAGAAAGAGAAAGGAGGTGATATTGTCTCTGAATCTGGCATCTGTGAGCCCAACTGGAATACATATTCTGGTGTTGATATTTAAAAAAAAAAAAATTGGACATGGTTCAGAAAAGAGCTACAAGAATGATTTGTAGTCTGGAAAACATGCCTTTAAAATGAGACTCTAAAGGACCTTAATTTCATTTATCTTGGAGAAGATTAAGAGGCAACTCAATCATGGTCTTTAATTATTTACATGGAGAAAAGACATCTGACACTAGAGGTCTCTTTAATCTAGTTGACGAGAGCATTATGAAATCCAAGGGTTTGAAGTTGAAATCAGTGAAGTTCAAACTGTAAATAAAATATAAGTTAACACTAAAAGTAATTACTCATACTAATAGATTATTAAGAAATTTGGTAAATTCTTTATTGGTTGGTGTCTTTAAATCAGGCTTGTCTGTCTTTCTAAACAACATGCACTTGTTCAACCACAAGTTGTTGTTATAGATGTAGGAATCATTGGGTAACATTCTATGGTCTGTGTTATGAGGGAAGTCATGATAATCAGACTAGATTATCATAATGATCTCTTCCAGCCAAAAAATCTATGACACTGAAAATCCAAGGAGAAGTGCCAACTATCTCGTATAATATTTTCCCCTTTTTCTTTATTCTCCATGTGTTTGAAACTCAGTTTTGACACAGATCATTAGCCGGACAGTAAGTTTGTAAGAAAAGACTCCAGAAAGATATAACATGTATTTTATATGAATATTTAATTAAAAGCTTGCATTTTAATCTTGCTGTCAAAGCATCTTTATCTTGATGGTACGTCCAGGTGCTATAACTGAGGTAGCTTTTTTGGATATGTTGAAATGAAAGCACCCAGTATACTGACAATCACAAAATATGTAATGTTTTCTTCCACAGTTCTTCTTCATTAAGTTATTGATTAAATCAGGTTATTGATTAAATCAAGTTAATATATAATCAGCTTTGTCCAAGCACAAGAGAGTGGTATGTAGTATTTGGGTATTCAGTTGTTCAATAGCTAGGGCTTACTTCTGTAAGAGAAGAATGTTTTGTTAATTTATTTTGGTATTAACTTAAAGGGAAACAAAATCCATTTCAATAGAATCATAGAATCATAGAATATCAGGGTTGGAAGGGACCTCAGGTGGTCATCTAGTCCAACCCCCCTGCTCAAAGCAGGACCAATCCCCAAATAAATAATCCCAGCCAGGGCTTTGTCAAGCCTGACCTTAAAAATATCTAAGGAAGGAGATTCCACCACCTCCCTAGGTAACGCATTCCAGTGTTTCACCACCCTCCTAGTGAAAAAGTTTTTCCTAATATCCAACCTAAACCTCCCCCACTGCAACTTGACCATTACACCTTGTTCTGTCATCAGCTACCACTGAGAACAGTCTAGATCCATCCTCTTTGGAACCCCCCTTTTAGGTAGTTGAAAGCAGCTATCAAATCCCCCCAACCCCCCATTCTTCTCTTCCACAGACTAAAATAGTGCAGGAGCAGTTGAGATTTGTGACGGTACATGTTGTCACAGCCTCATATCTGCTTCAGAGTAGAGTACATTTGTGGGAGACAATCTTTTTAAAAAAGTAAAAAAAGGGTTTAAGTGATTTCTAAACTATGGTCCATGGACCACTGGTGCTGTGCAGACTCTTTGCTGATAGAGAAGTTTATGACTCCAAATAATATGACAAATAGAAAATAAAGCGCTATTTATCACATGACCTATCCCAGCCATTCTAACTACTTAGCCATTTGCATTGCATTGTGTATTACAGCCCACAATCTTTATTCTTGTCTTGCATTCTGGATTTTTTGTATTCTGAAAATATATGTCATCTCTTTATTTAGCTGGGACTTTCTGTAGGGTTTTTCAAGCACTCTAAAAATGAATTTTTGCTTTTACGTGATATCATTTCAAAAGGGGGGAGGGACATATCCATCCAAGTGACAATCCTTTTACCCTAAAAAGCAGCCCATATGTTATATCACTGTAGTAGCCAGAAACCAGGCCATGACTTTACTCTGAAAGAAAAACCAAACCAAAACAAAACCAAAACAAAAGCACTTCATAAAGGCAAAGCTACTGCAGACATTGAGAAATAAAAATAGTCCCTTGATTAGATTTTGAGGACAACATGTCCTTTTGCTAATAACTCTCTGCTACATCTTAATTGGTAAGTAAATCAATAAAAGATGTGTTTATTACTGCTTAATTGACTTGTTTGCTTTCATTGCAATCACTGATTTATTTTGAAATGGGGGATGGGTGCATGTTGCATTTGGTCTTTGAATTTATTTAGCTTCATCTTTACATAGAAAAGTGCATTCTGTTTCCGAGAATCTGATCTGCTTGAAGAATATGTTTCAAAATCAGGGTCAAAAGCACCAGAAACTTCAGCAAGGTCTCTGCTTGGCCAAATGGAGGCTGACAATGTCTTTCTAATGCCTTTAAAGTAGTGAGCTAAAGTAGACAGGGAGATTATTGTGCAAAAGAAATTGTGCTCTTAACAATGATATTTTTAATTTCCTTTACAAAGTGCTAACAAAAAACCCTTATTTTATGTTGAACCTTGTATAATTCTGAATTTATATTCAGTGCCTAACAAAATCAAGTTGTTCTGGAGTTATGGTCACATCACAGGCTGAACAAAAGCAATAGGAACTGGTGCATCCTAAGTGGCTTATTTATTTCTTCTCCACATGACAATTTTGTTATGGAGTATTCCCTCCATTTCTAATAAATAATACTTGTTGCTTGTTCCATGTGTATATAATCCATGACAGAGCATCACAAGCAAGGCTTGTTGTAATACATTGCCCCTAGCTAGGGAACAGAGCGGTGTACTTTGCAAATGAAAACATTTGTCTGAATGATGCATTTCTGAATGAGGATTGTTTTGTTTTGCAGAGAGTTTGGCCGCTGGAAAGTAAACAATCTAGCAGTTGAAAGAAGAAATTTCCTCGGCTCCCCACTGCCTCTCGCACCAGAATTCTTTCGCAACATAAGACTACTAGGACGTCGCCCAACCCTTCAGCAAATCACAGAGAACCTTATCAAGAAATATGGGACACATTTCCTACTGTCAGCTACCTTGGGAGGTATGGTCAGTGATAGGAAACAGCTTTGTTATGCATACAGCGCCATTATAAAAATAACCACAAACGGTCAGAGTGCGTATAAATTGCTACTTTTATATTATCAATACCATTAACATCAAATCCTTCAATTAACTTTTCTAGCTGAGAACATAGGGCCTGACTGAAGATCTGAGGTCTCTGTCTTGTTAATGCTTAGCCATCATTTTGTTCAACTTATGTTCGATCAACCAATACAAAACCGTTTTAATGATTTATTTGGACATTTTTAAACATTTTGCAGAAATTCAAAGGCATGACATTTTGCATTTTTAGTCAAAATAGTTCTATTTGCAAGTGAATAACATGAACATTTCCAATTTTTCAGTTATGAAATTTGGAAATTGGATTAAAACAATTGGCCTACAGAACAACGAAGTTCCTCATTGCATCCATGCTGAGCTCAGTTATGATACTGGCTCAGTTACAATACTTTGATACCTGGCAAAATACTGGACCAAATGATTAAACAATAAGTTTTTAAGAACCTAAAGGGTACTAGGATTATAAGGAATAGCCAACATAGATTTGTCAAGAACAAATTATGTCAAACCAACCTAATTTCCTTCTTTGACAGGGTAATTGGCCTACTGGATAGAGGGGAAGCTGTAGACCTGTTATAGCTTGATTTAGTAAGGCCTTTGAAAACAGTCCCACGTGACTCATAAGCAAACTAGGGAAATGTGGTCTAGATGAAATTACTATAAGGTGGATGCACCACTGGTTGAAAGACTTTATTCATGAAGTAATTATCACTGTTCCTTGTCAAACTTGTAGGGTGTATCTAATGGGATTGCACAAGGGTTAGTCCTAGGTACTACAGTACTCAATATTTTGATTGGTGTCTTGGATAATGGAGTGGAGAGTATGCTTATAAAATGTGCAGATAACGCCAAGCTTGGAGGGTTTGCATATCCATTGGAGGACAGGATTAGAATTCAAAATGACTTTGACAAATTGGGGAATTGGTCTGAATTCAACAAGATGAAACTCAATAAAGACAAGTGCAAAGTACTTCATTTAGGAAGGAAAAATGAAATATACAACTACAAAAATGGGGACTAATTGATTAGGAGGTAGTACTTCTGGAAAGGATCGGTGGGTTATAGTGGATAACAAATTGAATGAGTCAACAATGTGATGCAGTTGCAAAAAAGGCTATCATAATTCTGGGGTGTATTAACAGCAGTGATGTATATAAGACATGGGGAGATAATTGTCCTTTTCTGGTGGCATTGGTGAGGCCTCAGCTAGAGTAGCATGTCCAGTTCTCGGTGCCACACTTTAGGAAAGGTGTGGCTAGATTGCAGAGTCCAGAGATAAACACCAAAAATGATAAAAAGGTTTAGAAAACCTGACCTAAGAGGAAAGATTAAAAAAAACAAAAACTGAGCATGTTTAGTCTTGTGAAAAGGAGCTTGATGGGGGACATGATAAGCGTTCAAATATGTTGACGACTGTGATAAATTGTTTTCCATATCCACTGATGGTAGAACAAGAACTAATGGGTTTAATCTGCAGCAAGGTAGATTTAGGTGAGATATTAGGAAACACTTTAAGGGTATTTAAGCACTGGAATAGGCTTGCAACAGAGGCTGCGGAATCCCCAACATTGGAGATTTTTAAGCACACATTGGACAAACACCTGCCAGGGATTGTCTTGGTTTACTTGGTCCTGCCTCAGCTCAGAGCACTGGACTTGTTGACCTCTCAAGGTCTTTTCCACACCTTGATTTCTATTATTGTCTTCTGGGTCAGGTCTTTGCAAAGAAAAAGCATTTGGTATCCAAGGCAGGAGAACAAGCCATCATGTTGCCCCAACATATGTTTCATGGGGCCCATAACTGACTCTCCATTGATAAGACACTTCTTCCTTCACTGCAGGCAATTGTGGTGATGGGAAAGAATAGAGCCCCCAGGTCCACCCTGTCTAAGACACTGGGGGTTCTTTCTGAGTTCTCTGCTCTTTGCCATCCTTCTATCTCAGGAAGGCTGCTCCACAATATTTAGTCTTTAAGCAAAATGATATTTTGCTGTGACTATTAGAGTCCCTACTACAACTCGTTCAAATATTGGGCCCAATTACAGTAGCTGAAAGACGCAGCATCAACAGAAGGCAGTCCATCAACAAATGGATATCCAGCTAGGAAACCTTTTAAAGCTACTTTGCTGTAGATTCTGCATACTATTGCTCCATCTTCCTGAGAATCAGGCTACAGTTAGTCTGTTAAATTATTTTTTTTCAAAACAGGCCAGAAATGTACTTAAACCTGATCCCATTAACAATAAGAGAAGCTGTGTATCTAAATCCCTATGTCATGTTTTGGAAAATGATGGTTCAGTGTGTAACTAGGATCCAGTTTCACAACAGATTGAAGAACTCTAGGATAGGGGCTGTTGGAGGGTCCAAGTCCAGCTGCATTGCTCAGTGGTGAGAGTCTGTGTGGCTAACGGTAGGGAAACTCAGGACCTTCTGCTCCACCACGGCCCTGTGACCACCAGGTTCCAACCCGGGGCCCTGTGACTAGCAGGTTGGATATATGGCCTGCCAGGTAGACACCACTAAACCTGCTCCCTGAGTCACCTCATACCATGGCCTCTACCTCTCCAAAGTCACAACAGAGCTAGGCTTGGGGACTCTTAGGTTCTCACTGACTGTGGGCTGGAGGCTCTTCTCCTTCAATCATGGCCCACCATTCCCGGTCTCCAGGAGCTCTGGAAGCTCAGCAGCAGGGTCTGGTCCAGGCAGTGAGGAGCTCCTATGGCCTCTCTGCAGGTGCTAACAGCATAGGACTACGCCCTTGCTCTGTCCATCATGACTGAACAGGGTGCCTCCCTTTTAAGATCTGCCTCCAATGTGAGTATGCCCAGCAGGTGCAGCTGGGTAGGGCCTTCTGGGCCCAATGCAGCTCGTTAACCCTTGGCTCCCCCATGTGGAGCTTATACACTCCATCATGGAGGCCTAGTGTTAACTACAGAGTACACCTGTACCCCAATATAATGCAACCCGATATAACACAAATTTGGATATAACGTGGTAAAGCAGCACTCTAGGGGGTACTTGTGGCACCTTAGAGACTAACCAATTTATTTGAGCATGAGCTTTTGTGAGCTATAGCTCACTTCCTCGGATGCATATCGTGGAAACTGCAGAAGACATTATATACACACAGATTATATTATATACATTATATAGTGTATATAATATCTTCTGCAGTTTCCACGATATGCATCCGAGGAAGTGAGTTGTAGCTCACGAAAGCTCATGCTCAAATAAATTGGTTAGTCTCTAAGGTGCCACAAGTACTCCTTTTCTTTTTGCGAATACAGACTTACACGGCTGTTACTCGGAAACTCTAGGTGGTGGGGCTGTGTGCTCCGGCAGATCAGCACGTCAGCGTGTCTGGCTCCAACACACCGCTCTGAGCGGCGTGTTAAGGGTGCCGAGCCAGGGCCGAGGGGTTGGATAAGGGGCAGAGGGTCTCGGGGGGGCTGGGAGTGGTCAGGGGACAGGGAGCAGGGAGGGTTGGATGGTTCAGAGGTTCTGGGAGTAGGGCGGTCAGGTGACGGAGGCGTTGGATAGGGTGTGGGAGTCCCGGGGGGCCTGTCAGGGGGTGGGGATGTGGATAGGGGTCGGGGAAGTCAGAGGACAGGGAGCTGGAGGTGGGGGGTTCGATGGGTCGGGGGTTCTGAGGGGTCAGTCAGGGGGCGGGAAGTGACTATTAACAGAAATGCTTGAGGCCAAAGCAAGTTCAATATAACGCGGTAAGATTTTTTTTGGCTCCTGAGGACTGCGTTATACCAGGGTAGAGGTGTATAAATTGTTCTGCATAAAAGAGAATTAGCACACAGATTACCCAACCAGACATTACAAAATGAAATGACATTTTAGAGGTGCAGTTTTATTCCTTGGTGGGTGATTATATTAAAGATATTTCCAGTGATTTGAGTATTATTCTTGCAGGGCAATCTTGTCAAAAGCCCTTATTCACCTGAGGAATGGTTTTCTTTAATGTATTTCATAACTGAATTCCAACCATATATTAATAAAATGACAGTAACCCTATTCTCCTTTGGCTGATATCTGAGTTCCATAACAAGTGAAATGTGATCTTGGAAAAGAGCATTTCAGAAGTACGTTGAATTTCTGTGCCACCTTAATAATTTAAAACAAAACATTAAATTATATCATCATTTTAAGAAATAGTACTTCTGTGGCAAATACATCCTAATTTAATTGAAATCTAAGAACAAATTGTACACGTGTTGATCAGCAATCTGTTACTGGCACTTCATTTGATACAAAACTTCCAGGATTGCTGGTAATTTCCCATAGCCAAGTGTGAGCTCTCCAGGACAGGGACAGTACTTAGACACTAGAGGTGACATCCTGACTTCATTGAATGCAGTGGTAAAATGTCCATTGATGTAAATGTGGTTAGGAGGACCCTACATATTTGATAATTATTACAAAAAATTATACAGCACTGAAATCCAGATCCTGCAAATCGTCCTTGTGGGGGACCATTGTTTCCTTCTATTGGAGTTCTACATCTGGAAGCTTTTCAGATTGGGGAAAAGATAATTTTTTGATAATGACTGTTGAACCCTGGGTCACATACCAGAATTCTGCTATTACAGAGTAAAAATGATAGGGTTCGATCCATCGGAAGTACTGAGCATCTGTATCCCTGGACCACAAATAATTTGCTGTTGTTCAATGCCTTTTGAGGAGGAGACCTGTAACAGGGTGCTTGGAGGGCCAGGCAGCCTAGTGGTTGGTGTGCTTGACTGCCAGCCCCATGTTTCCCTGGTCAAAGTGCCTCAGTCTTCTAGGCGATGGGATCAGGGGATTTGGGCCCTCCCACTCCACTGAGTCCCAGGCCCGTGCCCTGCGTGAGTCGAAACTTGAACAGGGGGCCCTCCCAGTCTCAATCCACCACTCTAGACTACTTCCTATCACT